CTCCTCGTTGTACGCGGTCTGGTCCCACACCGCCTGAGGCGGCGCCGGCGAGGGGCGGGCGTGGGCAAGCGAGGGGGGGGGGCGGGGGCGAGAGGGGGGGCGAGGGGGGGAGAACGTGCACGGGACAACGTGCGGGCGGGCGGGAGGTCGCGCCTCGCGCTGCATCCGCCCCTTGAGCCGCGCCATCATCCGCACCGCCTCGACGGTCGCGCGGACGTAGAAGAGGCCAGAGTTGCGCGCGCCGAGCCGGAGGCTGCGCGTGTGAGAGGGCCACTCGTACCCGTACGCGGTGACGTCGTCCCAGCCGTCCGTCATCCCCTCCACGTCCGCGTCGCGGTAGAGGGAGGGCAGCGTGAACGGGTTCTGCATCCACAACACGTCGACGTCGGAGAGGAGCACCGAGCAGCCCGCCGAGAGGAACTCGTGCAAGACGGCGAACTTGAGCCCAGACGTCGCGTGGTTGTCGGTCGAGCCTAGGGATGCAATCTCGACTAATCTCGATCTGCGCTGGCTCTCGGCCGACTCTCGGCTCGCTCGCCTCCGCGCGCCACCAGCTTCCGCACGTACGTGTGCGCCCCCTTGCCGCGCGCGAACTGGGCCGTCGCGTCGTCGAGCGCGACGACGACGGCGTTCGAGATGTTTGCGCGCGCGCAGCCGACCAGGAAAGTGCCGAGCATCGCAAAGATGTTCTTGTTTGAGACGGCGGCGAGCACCTGCTCTCACAGCAGCCCGACCGTGCAGAGGGGCGCCGGCTCGCGGGTCGTGCCGTGAAGGGACGGACGGAAGGAAGTGTGCCATTGGGACGGAAGGAGAGCTTCCGGGCGGCGGGCGGCGAGGCGCCTCCCTCCCAATGGCCGCCTCCTTGAGCAGCTCGCAGAGCGCGCGCATGTTTTCGTCCGCCGCGCAGGCGCTCGGCTTTGGGAAGGCGTCGCCCGGCTGCAGGATGTCGTTCAGAGGGCGGGGGGCGGCGGACCCCTCGTCGCGGGGCTGCGCGCGGCAGCCGCGCTCGAGCACGGCCTCGCGCGCCTTGGAGAGGTGGGGCGCGCGGTGTGAGTCGCAAGCCGAGGGCTGCGAACTGCGGGCGCGGAGCACGCAGCGCCTCGGAGAAGAGCGCGCTGCGAAGGATGTCGTTTGGACCCGGCCCCATCGCCGCCGCGTCCACGCCGGCCCTCTGCTCGAGCGCGACCTCCGCCTCCTCGTCGCGGCTCGCTGCGGCGGTCGCGACGTGTCCGCCCCCGAAGAGGCCCCTCCCTCCGAGGAGGCAGTCGCGCCGCAGCACGCGCATCGACACGCCCGCGCGCGTGTCCCCGTCGTGCGCCTACGAGCTCGGCCAGTCTCGGGCTGATCTCGGGCGACCTCGACGCCGGCGCGCGAGCCTGCGCTGGGGGCCGGCTGGTGCACGAGCTGCGTGAGCAGAAAGGCGAGGCTGCCGCTCGGCCGGCTCCGCTCGCAGTCTGCGCCGCAGCCGAGCAAGCGGTTGGCGAGCTGCGCCGCCAGCTCCGCCGCAGGAGCCGTCGGGTGGAGGGCGACGACGGCGGGGTCGAGCATCGGGCACGCCATGGACTGGCCGTACGCGGACCAGCCCATCGGAGGGTCGTGCACGCCGACCACCGAGCCGCGCGACATCTGCGAGCCGAGCTGCGCCGCCTGCAGGGGGGAGGGGGACGTGTCGCGGACGTGTCGGGGACGTGTCGCGGACGTGTCGCGCTGCAGCACCTCGACGTTCGACGATAGCCCTATCTCAGCCAAGCCTCGGCTACGTCTCGGCTACCGCCGCCTCCACGTCGACGTCAGCCGAGAGATGCGGGAAGGGGCTCGCCGCCCAACGAACCTGAGGTGGAGGGTTCGGGTTAGCGGAGAGGTGCGGGGAGGTGGATGATGATCGCCGCCGAGGGCGCACACCCGCGAGGTGCTCAGCACGACCGTGCAGCCCGCCCTGAGTAGCTGCGCACCGACGCGCCACAGGGCGCCCGCCGAGACGCGAGCGGGCGCCGCGCCGCTCCCCGCCTCGCGAGGCAGGTACCACCCGACGCCGAGGGACTGCGCCACTGTGGCCGCCTCGCGAGTTGTCGCCACGAGCAGCAGTTGGCCAGGCGAGACGGCTCCCTTTGCCGCCGTGAGGCGCTCTGTTAGGACCGACGAAGCTGGCTGGCCGAGCACCGACGAGAGGAGCAGCAGCGAGTGACCCGGCGCACTGGCGGCGATGGCACAGACGACGGCGTCGCTTGCTTGGCACGGCGTGTGCGGCAGCCTCGGACGCTGCGTCTGCTGCTCTCGAGGACCTGGCGCCGGTCCGCAACCGCTGACCACCTGCGGCGGCTTGGCATGCGGCAGCGAGGCTGGCAGCCAGTACTCTGGCGTGATATCCACTGCCGCTGCCGTAGCAGCTGTGGCTGTGTTTGACAAACGAGGCGAACTTCTCGGCTCCTGGGCCGTCGCCGGCGACGAAAGCATGCTGCAGGCGTACAGGACGAGCGCGGCGGCGACGGCGAAGAGGAGTCGTGCGAGGAGCGGTAGGCCCATATAACACACGGATCTATTTGCCAAACATCATGAAAGCACGTCAAGCAAAGAAAAAGGATTCTGCCGCTGCGAGAATTGGCGAGAGACTGCAAAAAGAGATAGGAAGAAGCAGACGGAGACGCCAAGGTTGGGCAACGGCTAGCACCAAACTCCTGTCTCCTCTCCTTAAAATCCTGCTGGCGCGTGGCGGCGTGCCGTCCTCCCACTCCAAGTGCTCCCATTCCTCCGTTGCGCGTTGCCCAACGGCGTTGGTCTGTTGATTTCTGTTCTTTCGGAGACGCACGGAGAGACGGAGTGGCAGGAGGCAGAAACCGACGTTAACCGTGAAGCCACGAGTGGCCAACACGCCGCCAAGTCACGTCGTACCTCGAAAAACGCGAGAAAATCCAAGAAAAAACCTTCCGGCATGGTCTTTTCATGGTCTTCCTCGGTGCTGGCTTCAGGTCGCGCAGGCTTCAGGTCTCCGAAGCCGATGGTTGCAAACGTGGTCGCCGTAAAGTAGAGGCGCGTCGACCACCGGCCAGCCCTCGACAACCACAAACGCTGATGCAAAGGCGCCGACAATTCCGGCGGTGAGCGACGCAACTCGGAGCGTGAAGAAGCCGCGAGACACTCATCGTCTGGTGGGCGTGGACCGTGGTCGAGGAGGTTGTCGCTCGCCACGCGCTCGCTGAGGAACTGGGTCGTGAGCAAGGCGGACCATATGCTCCGCAAGCGTGTGAGCGCTGGCTGCCCCCCATGGGGCTCGGACTGCGCAAAGGACCCCCATGCTGGGTGCTGCATTTGAGATTTGTGTCTCCCCCGCGCTTTTTCCCTGTTATATGTTTATTATATTCGGAGATAGCCGCGCCGCGGCTATGTAGGTTATCCGACAACGCGAAGAGAGGAACCGACAAACCCAACCCACCGTGAGGGGGGTTCCCGTGACCAATCGTCACCAACTATTACGTTCCGCGCGCGGCTGAACGAGTGTTTGTCGGACCCTCGCGCTTCTAGGCGCCCGAGTCCTCTTCTCGTCTGCGATTTTGTGTGGTGGTATCGTCGCGATGCTACGCCAGTGGGACACTGGCGAGGCTCTTCGAGCCGACGGTGCCGCTGCAGTCCCACACGTTCCGCCGCAATACCGCCGCCGCTTTCCGCACATTGCCAGATGGTCTGTGGCCGCCGCAACGCCAGATGCAGTCAGTGCAGGCAACGCTTATACTGACGCGGCGTACAAAAGGGACAAGCCTTTCTGGTCTGGCCTCCTATCAGACGGGCCACGATCAGACAGTCGTGCACCTTGGCGCTCTCCCAGCCCCGCAACCCGCCGCCGCTCAACAGCTGAGCCGAGGTGGCTGAGAGAGCTGGCTGAGAATGAAGAGCTCACAGTCAGGCGACTTGCATGCGGAGTGCATGCTGAGTGCATGATGCGAGCGCTGGGCAACAGCGTATTACGCGAGTGTGTCATGGGCAGTAGCCGTCAAGGACAACAGCTTTTCTATCATGGGCAACAGCCTGTCAGGGGCAACAGCCTGTTAGGGGCAACAGCTTATGTGTCATGGGCAACAGCCTGTTAGGGGAAGACAACGCTTGTCAGCCACATTCGAGGCTTGTTAGCCAACCCGAGGCTTGTTAGCCATCTTCGAGGCTTGTTAGCTAATTCGAGGCTCCAGCCACACGAGGCTCCGGCGTCCGGCCACACGAGGCTCCGGCCACACGAGGCTTGTTAGCCACATTCGAGGCTTTTAGCCAACCCGAGGCCGGCCGGCCAACTCGAGGCTCGTTAGCCAGTTCGAGGCTCGTTAGCCACACGCTCGAGGCGTCTAGCCAGACCGAGGCTTGTTAGCCGTCTTCGAGGCTTTTAGCCACACCGAGGTGCTCGTTAGCCACGAGGCCTTTAGCCGAAGGCCTTAGCCGAGCGATCACTGCCCGGGGCGGCTACGGCCGCCACCCTCCTACCGGGCAACGACCCCAACTTCGTCGATGGGCCTGTTTGAGACTCTCTGGGATCGACTTCCCCGGCAATCGGCGCGATGGGCCTTACGATTTGGGCGCCGACGCTCGGGGTCGTCTGGCAACGGCACCGGGAGCTCGAGACGCAGCTCTCGGGGCCAGCCAACCCAGGAGTCGATTTTAGGACCAATCTCAATAACAATCTATATATCAGCATGAACAAACAACGGGGACTCGGACGTCGGAGTCGCCACACGCCAGTCGGACGTGATGGTAAATGTGAGGAGAGAACTCAGAGAACCGCCAGGGAAATAATAAAAATCAAATCCATGCAGACGTCATGCGCGCTGACGCACGGGAGGGCGCGGACCGCTCGCCTCAACGAGCTGTGCGCGCGCCCGCCCGCACCTCTGACTCCCCAAACTCGAAGAGTCGGCGTTTACCCCTTGCACCATCACCTACCCCCTCCCACCCCCCCTCCCCCCCGGGCACGACCCCCCACACCTCCCTCGGTGGCTGCCGCTCCCCCCGCCCTCGGCGGCTCAGGCCTCCTCGGGGCTCGCCGTCGGCGTCGGCACCGCGGCGAGGCCGAGCGCCCCGTCGCAGAAGCTCTTGACGAGCGGCAGGCCCGCCCGGCGCTCCGCGGCGCGGTAGGTGGCATAGCTCACCGCGGCGCCGTTGCCGAGAGGCTTGTGCTCGATGGTCGGGGCGGAGGCGGCGGTGCGCTCAAAGTCGCGCCGCGAGTAGGCGGGCAGCCGGTGCGTGCCGTCGCGCGACGTCAGGGTCAGCGTCACGACGGACGGCGAGAAGCAGCCGACCACGCGCTCGACCAGGTCGGCGGCGCGGAAGCGGGGGTCGTTGGTCTCGAAGGAGGCGTAGGAGAAGGCGACCTCGGGGGTGACGTGGACGGTGTAGTAGTACGGCCCCGCGAGCGCGTTCATCGAGTAGCCGCACGGCTCGAAGGCCCAGTCGTCGATGAGCGCGCCCGGCAGCAGGTCGGCCAGGCCGCACGACGTGGTCATCGCGCGCGCGAGGGCCCCGTCGGGGAGGGGGCCCCAGCCGGCGACGTCCTTGCCGTCGGGGCCGCGCTCGAAGCCGAAGAGGGCGCACACCTCCGCCGACAGCCCCTCCATCGCAACCTCGAGGATGTCCTCCCCCGCGAGGGACGGCAGCGCCATCTGCCACTTGTTGAGCTGCGCCGGCAGCGGCCTCGGCGCCGCGACGGCGGCGCGCCCCTCGACGGCGAGCACGTGCCAGCAGCAGCCGTCGGCGGGGCCGACGGTGAGGGCGTGCACCCCCTCGCCAAACATGGCGACCAGGTAGGCGCGCTCCTCGTCGTGCGAGCGCGACGGGTAGAGCTGCAGCTGCGGAAACTTGTACCGCAGGTGGCCGTACTGCAGCCGCTCGAGGGCCGCGCCGGCGGTGGCCGCCATCTCGAGGAGGCGGGGCAGGACGAGGAGGAGGGTCGTGGTGCCGCACGTCTTCAGGATGACGCGGTCGGCAAAGACGAACAGGCTCGACTCGGAGAGCAGGTAGGCGTCGCAGTGGTCGTTGGACCGCTGGTTGAGGATGGTGCACGCGGCGAGGCTGAGGAGCTCGGACCAGGCCTCGGCGCCGTACTGGCGGAAGCCCGAGGGCTGCGAGACGGAGGTGCGGAAGTACACCTCGAGCTTCTTCTCAGGGCCCTCGAACACGTCCTCCGTGCTCAGGGTGCAGGGCGCGAGCGCCGCCGCTGCCGCGGGATCGTGCATCGGAAAGTCCATGTTTGTACGATTTCGTTGGGGGGTGTTATCTCGTGCCAACGGCCCGGGTCAGCCAGGCCTGACGGGGCGGGGGCAGGGGCGGAGTCAGCCGCTCTGCTCTTGTGCAAAGACTCACGATGCGGCTGCTCGAGGCGCGCGCGATGCTGGCGCAGCGCGCGGGAGGTGGCGGCGGGGAGGGCGGCAGCGTGGGAGGCTGGCGGCGGGCGCAGCCCGAGCGCCATCCGCCGGTGCTCCGCCGTCGACGCCGGGCGAGGAGGGCGAGAGAAGATGGGAAATGCATCAGCGCACCATGGAGAAGTCTTCGGTGTGCCACGCAGCACGGCGTTCGTTGTGAACAGGAAGGTGTGAACAAACGCCGTCGTACTCCGTTCTTGTCGTTATGTTTTCCCGGTCAAAGGAAAAACACTGTCGGCGTGAGTTAAATACATAAAACGAGCCGCGAACTGGCGAGGTACTTCCAGCCTGCTGTGGGAACAGCTGACGCAGTCTCGCCGAGGCTCTCGGGTTGACTCGGCCAGACAAAACCCCGAGAGGCGTGGGAGTACCTCGCCAGGCCGCAATCCCTAAACTTACGGCGGGCGCTCCTCGAAAAGCGCACACCTGCCTGCGACCCGACGGCGTGTCCCGCAAATGCCCAGCCCCGCGGCCGCGCCGCACCGCCGTGAGCTCTACTTTGCTTCCGACCCGCCCATGCGTTGGATCAGCCCGCTTGCGGCGGCGGCGCTCTGCCTTCTCATCGCGTGCTGTTTCTGGTGCTGGGAGCGGTCGCTGCTCCGCGAGGCGGCGGCGGCGGGAGAGAGGGGCAAGCCAGCACCCCAGTGCGGGCGCAGCCGCCGCACAGCCGCAACCGCCCCGGTGGCCAGGACGCCGCCTCTCCCGCCGCCCGACGACATCACCGAGGCCGACGAGCCCTGGTACTCGCGGCAGTCGTGGTACAGGCACGAGGCGGAGCAGGCGAAGGAGGAGGACGAGGCTGAGGGCGAGGGGCTGCCGTTTGCGCTGAGAACTCGGGGTGGCAGAGTGCGACACGGCCGCGCCTGTGTGCGAGAGGCGCCGTTTCGAAAGTTTGTACCACCGCCCGACGCCGAGGCGGCATGCATTGACATGACCGAGCTGTGAGGCAGTGTAGACTTTTTGTGAGTCGGTATTGTGGATAGTCTCCTAGCTGAAAGGATCCCTCAAAACCGAGACCTACCTCTTTCCTCCTCCTCCGAGTCTTCCGGTCGGCCCACGACACGCTTCCTCAAAAACGCACGCGATGCACAGTGAGACATAACAGTTTTAGTCGGGCGGCAGGCTGATCCGAGTTGACATAATTATGCTGAGCTGTCAACAGCAGCACACACTGCGGAGAACGGACCTGAGCCATAGCCTCGACTCGATCGAGCCGCTCGGCGTCCCCCGGCCTCGCATGGCCGCGCTGCGCCTGATGCTACCTCTGCTCCCGCCACTGGAGCAGCGGGCGATGGGCTTGCACTCCATCGCCGCCTCTCGCCGATCGCGCTCGCGCTGTCGCCGGCTGAAGGAGGTTCGGATGCGCCGCACCACCGCGACGGCGTCCACCAACCACTCTGGCTCGTCGTCGGCAGCAGCGTCCTCCAATGCGGAGAGGCGCACAGAGCGGGTTGGCGAGCGCAGTGCAGCCGGGCGTCCGCTGGACTGATCCGCGATTGCGTCGACCAGCCACGCCGGGGTGTCGTCGCTCAGGGTGCCACGAGACCGCAGCGGGCTGGGAAGCGTGCTCTTTTCCGACATATCGACAGGAACTCGGGCCAAGGACGGAGATGGGGACGTCCGAGCCTTGCGACGTGGCAAGTTCACGCGGGGCATGTTGGAGCGCTGTAATCACACACAAATCTGCCTGTAAGGTTATTTGTGCCCCGTTTGTGCCGCGTCCCGTGCCCCCGAGTTCATTTCATACTCCAAGGTTATTTTTGTTCAAAGCCCCGTCGCGGCCTGTCCACCACCACGTCTCGACCGCCTCCTCCTCCGCCTCCTCCGCTGCTCCTCCGCCGCCTCCTCCGCCGCTTCCTCCGCAGCCTCCTCCTCCACCTTTTCGCCAGTCTTCTTCTCCGCTGATCCCCGATCATCCGCCGCCTCGCCCGCGTACTTGCCGGCGTACCAGCTGGAATCGGCGGATCATCGGAGCAAGCTAGAGCCTCGCCCACTTACCGATTCCGCATGTATGTATGTAGGAAGGTGAAGAACAGCCAGGCTCGGACTGGACACCAACGCGGTATGGGTGGACGCAGGACAGATGATGACGACACGCACGAGCGACACACAGACACAAACAGGCTCACAAGACACACAGCCAGCGGGCTGCCACACACCCTGAGTAGGCGTACACATAACTCAAGGCCACATCCTCCCTGTCGCCCCCCCCAGCACTCCAAGGTGCCAAGAGAACGAACAAGGGCACAACAGACGGCAGGAAGTAACATGTGAGAGTAGAGCAGACCGCTCCGCCTCTAGCAATCTCGCCGGCCGGCGAGGCACGGACGAGACCGTGTGTGGGGTCTAGTGAGGTGTCTATGGACGCCCTCCTCACAGGCTAGCTGCCTACTGCTAGCCCTATCTCGCACTCACGGGTGATGACAATTCATTGGGTGAGTGTTTGCGAGCAGAGGCGCGTGGGCTAAATCTAGGCCGCACGTCGTGGCACTATGACGGAGGTAGACGTGCGGCCGCAGCGCGCCCACCGCAGGCTCGGCGGTGCGCGCGTGTTAGCGAGAAAGTTGCGGGTAGAGCCATGCCCGACTTTTCGAAGGCGAGGCCTCTGCGACGAGTGCCAGCCGCGCTGCGGAGCCACGCCCTTCGAGCCGCGTCCCGTCGGCTCCGTCCCTGAGTGTCTCGCCTTGGCGACACACACGACGAGGACAGTCCTGCTGACGAGAACGTGTCGCGCGCCGGCGACGATTGCGGCGTGGTGGTTGCGTGTACGAAGCGAAGATGGCACGACCACCGCCCTGCATCGCAGACCGGGCAAGGAGGGGCCTCCCGTTCCGCGGAACAGGAGATCTTTCCCCCTCCCCCGGCCTGAGCAGCGACGGGTGGAAGGCAGCCCCTTGATTCGAGGGCGGCGCGACCATTGCGCTGACTCAAAGACCAGCTAGCTGGCCCGTTCAGTACAGATGGTCTCGCCGCCCCGCTCCGCGCCGCCCGCCGCCGCGCCGCCCCGCCGCCCGATGATTATTAATTCATTATTAATTAATTAAAAAGTAATTATACCACCCGCCGCCGCGCCGCCCCGCCCTGCGTCGCCCGCTGCCTCGCCGCGCCGCCGCCTCGCGCCGCCCGCCGCCGCGCCGCGCCGCCGCCCGATGATTAACAATTAATAATTATTACCCGATGATTAATAATGTGTGTGTGTGTGTGTGCGTGTGTGTGTGTGTGTGTGTTTGTTTGCGCGATGGCAGGGAAGGGCAGGGCAGCCGCGAGCCGCAAGTGGCGTCGGCGACGCGGCGAGGACACGATGGTGACGCCCACAGCGCAGCGTGCGCGGCAGCAGTGCCGCCGGCGGCCCCATGCCGCATCAGCGGCGCTCTGAGTGAGTCAGGCTGCGCTTCACAGCCTACTGAGCACGTTCCCGACGAGCGTCGCGCCACGCGGGTCCGCCGCAGGGCAGGCGACGCGGGCGGCGAGCCGATGCGCGTGTCGTAGGTAGGCGTAGGCAGCACTGGCGAAGCGAGGCGGCCGGCGCCGGCCCCCGCAGGCGGTTGCAGCGAGAGCAGCGAGGTAAAAGACACTGTTGAAAGGGTGGGGAGCAGCCTGCCGTCGAGCAGCACGCCGCGCAAGCTCGCTGCCGGCGACCCGATCGAGAGCTCGTAGTCATGGTACTATTCAGCGCGCCATCGCGCCCGAGGCAGCCCGCCCTGTCTCTGTAGGCCTTCCCAGACAGCTCGGCGAGGCTGTACAGAATGCCCAGAGCATGCTGGGCAGGCTCCCGTCGAGCGACGAGCCATGCTGGCTCCTCGCGGGCGGCGAGCTCGAAGACCCGCTCGGAGCTTCGCCCAGCCCGGCGAGCCCGCCCGCACGCCCGCACGGACTCGAGCACTTGGAGCACTTGGAATCTTGGAGTGCAGTCGGCAACCTCACATCCAGGGCCGGGGAGCTGAGAAGCGCGCCCAGCGGGCCGGATGATCGGCATCGGGTTACGGGCTAGAGAGCCCTAGCCCTGGGGGGTGCGCGTTCGCAGGGCCATAACACGGGTCTCCGAGGGTTAGTTCTGCGCTCCGGGTTTCCCCAGCGGCGGAATTTTTCCCTCGCGCTGTGGGTCCCCCTAGCTGCGGAACGCCCCCTCTACTCGGAGCTAAAGAATACTGTCCGAGGGTTAGCCCCGCGTACCAGGTTTCCCCTTAACTGCAGGACGCCACCCTCTACTCGGAGCCAGGTATAGTTCCGTTTACCAGGTTTCCCCGCCAGGATTTTCTTTTTTTAGCCGCGCCGGCATACTTTGCGAACGAGCGTATCTCACGAATACTTGATTTTTCACGCCGTCTAACAATCGTGTTCAAGCGGCCCTCCTGTGAGCTGGTACACCAAGAATGGCTTACCACTGCCAGGGGCCACACTGTGACAAGCTGTGATGAGCGTGGTTTGGCTTGTGCAGCCCATACGGACGTGGTATATATACATATATGCGGCCACGTGTCGGCCGGTTCGGGGCACGAATTCCGGATTTTTCCACGGCCTAACAATCGTTGCTGTAGTGGCGCCAATGGCCGCCTCCCGTCGCGCCATTGGCACCCTAGCCAGCAGTAGCACCGGAGGCAACACCACCAAGCCCACAAGTCACAAGAGTGACGGAGATGCTTGCCACGAGCACCGTGACGCCCGACCCTGTGAGCACCGTGGGCGTATACGGCTGCATACGGTGAGATGATGCACAGCATGGCCAGACGAGGAATGCAAGGCTCGCCAGCTGTGTGTTAGTGAGGTATATGGATGTGATCAACATGTGTGCGTCACAGGTACGCGCAGCAGCGCATGTAGCCGCTGATATCGAAGACAGCGCAAACAGGTCTTTTTGCGCCACGCACCCGATGGCCGTGCTGGTCCAACTGCGTGCACAGGAATGCTATCAGCGCGTCTCCGCCATAACTGGACATGGCAATGAAGCAGCTGAGACGTGACAACACCGGTGCTGGGCCAAGGAGGTGCCGCTCACCGCCGATTGTTAGGACTGTCGTCGAAGGCGAGCGGCGGTCGCCGGGCAGCAGCTCGTGGCGATCGTCGATCCGCGAGCTGCCAAGCTTGTCACAGGCCGGCACTGGATCGAGGACGATGGCGCCGCGCGGCTGGAGGCAACGGAGAAAGGCATTGTGGAGCGGCGAGGCGATTGTTAGGAATTTCGAGGCGCGGAAAAATCCGACAGCCCTGCAAAATCAAGTATTCGTGAGATACGCTCCTCAATTGGTTGCGAGCGACGTTCTCCTCGCTCGCAACTCGCTTCATGCCTGGCCACAGCATCTTCCTCCTCGACGAGCTCATCGGCGTGGCGTCGGGTGGGAGGCCGGTGTCTCTCCAAAAGCTGCACGTCAGTCAACCCTCGAACTTCAAGGCTCCCACGAAGGCCCCTGCCGCGACCGTCAAGCAGTCGGCGCCGCCAGGTGGCGCGCCAGTCGCCGCCGGCGGAGGTGGCGGCGCGCTGCCTGCGACCAAACTGCTCTACCAGGCGGACACGTACCTCTTCACGGCCGAGGCGACTGTGCTGGAGGTGGGCGAGAAGGCGGGCGGCGGCGGGTGGGCCGTAGTGCTGGATGAAACCTGCTTCCACGCGCAGGGCGGCGGGCAGCCGGCCGACACGGGTACGCTCACCCGGGCCGGCGGCGGCGCCGCGTGGGCCGTGCGCATGGTCAAGAAGGACGGCGAGGGCGTCGTGAGGCACGACGGCGAGCCAGGCGGTCCAGCGCCCGACTTTGGAGCAGGAGACACTGTGTCGCTGGCGGTGGACGAGCCGCCGAGGAGGCGCCGTGCGGCGCGGCCTGGGAGACGCCGTCCTCACCCGTGATCAGCGCCTCTTTGCTCGTCGCAGGTACAACGCGCGGGTCCACTCTGCCGGCCACCTCATCGACGTCGCGATGACGCAGGCGGGCAGCACGTTGAGGCCGACCAAGGGGTACCACTTCACGCCAGGCGCGCGGCAGCGGCGGGGGCGGCGGCGGCGGCGGCGGCGGCGGCGGGGAACGGGTTTGGTGAGAGTGGCGGTGGAGAGGGCGGTGAGAGTGGCGGCGGCGAGGGCGGCGGTGGCGCGTCTTTGCTTCCATGGTGTGTGTCCGCGGCGTGCTGCCCAACGCCCCTCGCTGCTGCGAGCAGGCGCGTACGTCGAGTACGAGGGCAAGCTCGAGGCGAGCGAGCGAGAGGCGCTGCTGCCGAAGCTGCAGGCGGCCGACCGGCCATCCACACACCGCCGCTTCCCGGAAGGTTCGCGGAAGCTGAGGGAGGCTTCGCGCGTAGGCGGCGATGGATGAGCTCATCGCGCGGGCGGTGCCTTCGACGGTGCAGACGGTGGACGCGACGGCGCTGGGCGACTACTGCTCGCCCAACACCATCCCGTCCGACCCGGCGCTTTGGGGCAAGGGGTGGGTGCGTGTGGTCGGGGTGGGAGGCATGGTCTGCCCGTGCGGAGGGACGCACGTCGCAGACACGAGGGAGCTAGGCCGCCCGATGCGGGAGGAGGAGCGCATTCTCGGCCGTCTCGCCGCCACAGCCCGCCGCGTGCGTGTTCCGCTGTAGGCGCCGTCAAGGTCGAGGCCGTCAAGGGGAAGGGCAAGGTGACGCGGATTTCGTACACCGTGCTCGATGGGTAAGGATTCCGGGGATGGAAGGGGGGGGGCGACAGCGTGCAACATCTTCTATTAGAAACGTGTGCTCCTTTGTTAAATAAATAAATAAAAACGGACACCTCTACTGTGTTGGGTAAAAAGGAACAGGTCCCCGCCCGTGCGATCTTTGTGCAGGGTTCTTTGTGTGTGGGGTGAGTTGTGCTATGTGTGCAGTGTGCGCTCCTTCGACGTTCTATTTTGGGGCATAAATTTGAGCTCTTTTCTTGACTACCTTCCCTACACCGAGCGTGTGCTGCTGCTGGCCCAACAAGATCCTCATTATCGTCGGGGTCTCACACAAGCACACCGACACCGTGGAGCGTGGTGCTGTGCACGAGGTGGTATCCTCACAGCACCGCGCGGTTCTGTCCGCGCCGTGCGTCGATAAACCACCATGGTGTGCGCCTCTCCGCCGCGTGTTTAGAGCCCCCGAGCGGCCCCGCCGGCTGGTCGCCGATGCAGTACATCTCGGCCAGCCACGGATAAATTGAGGGCCGCTCATAGTCCATCCCGCGTCGGCGGGTTCGCGCCACGTCCATCGGCTCCAGTAGCCGCAGGCAGCGCACCGCGAGGGCATGATTGAGCGGCGCGGTGAAGAAGAAGTCCCGCATGAGCTCGCGTTGAGCCGGATGCCCCTCCCACGCCTGCTTTGCTAGGAACCAAAGGTTCTTGAGCTCCACGCGGTGCCCCTCCATCGCCATCGCCTCCTCGTCGAGCCCCACGCGTCGTTCGAGCCAGGCGTCGGCCCAGCCAGCCGGTGACGAGCCGCCGCCGCCGCCAGAGCCCCAGCCATTCCATGAGCGGCTGGACGGCTCCTTCCGCATCCGGTATGCCTCGAGTTCGAGGACCATCCGCTCGGGCCGCCGCGCATTGAAGTAGGCGGCCGTTCTGTCGAGAGCGTGCATCGCGGCGGCGTCGGCGCGCCGGCTGTCCTCGACGGCCGCCGCCTCTGCCTTTTGAAGCCGCTGCCGGTCGCCCTCCTTCAGGTAGGTGCGTATGCCAAAGGTGAGGCCTCCGGTTTGGCAGCAGAGGATCGTGCTGTGGAAGAGCGGCCCCGGCGGGCCTGAGGGGAGCATGGCGCGTAGGCGCGTCCACCAGGCCATCTTCGAGGGATTGAGAGGGGGAGGGGCCCGGCCCGCGGTGCGGCTTGCTCTGTCCCGACCAAAGTTTGGGACGCATCCACCTCCGCCTCCACCCCCACATCAACACTCCCGGCTACACGCCCTCGCATCTCCGTCCGCCTCATTCCGCGTCTTTCCCCAGCCCCAAGCAGCCCCAGCCCATACTAGCTTTTATGCTTCTTTGCTTTTTTTTGCTTGCTTTGCTTGCTGGCTGGCCTGGCTGGTACTCGAGTATGTATGTATGTATGTATGGTTGGTTCGTGGTTTGGTTGGTACGCACCGATCGACCGACCGACCGACCGCCCACCCTGGGTCCTGCTATTCCTTTCACTGTTATGTGCGGTGGAATAAACCCGAACCCTCGTATCGGCGAGCCATTCCTGTCGGCGTCCAATGATCCGGCAAAAAAAAGGCGCTTGAGTGTCCTTCCGGGCGGCTAGGCGCTTGAGATGCGCGCGCTGCGTACGAGCGCGCACTTCACACGGGCTAGGTCTGCCGCCTTCGCGCTTATTCTCGCGCCCCGCAACCCGCCGGCAGCCGGTGACGCGTCGGCCGATGGACGAGGAACGTAAGCGGCAGCGTCGGCCGCGCGCCAAGCACCTGCAGGGGTTCGGTGTGGACTGGCGGAGGCGCGGGTACCTTTGCGATGACGGCCTCAGCACTACCGACGACGAGGAGCGCACGCGCTTCTCTCAGAACGGTTGCAGGGCGGCGCGCTCCGCCTTGCTTCGCCATGTCGACCGCGATGGCCGCAGGGAGACCTCGTACCAAAAGAAGCGCTTTCGGGGCGAGGTCGGCGGCTGGGGGCGCCACCGGGGCGCAGGGTTTTACGACCCTGGCCTACACGCGCCACGCTCCCGCGAGGAGGAGGAGGCGAATCTTCGAGCCGCCCTCACTGCGTCTCTCAACGACAACGTTCGTCCCTCGCCCTCTTCGTTGCCCTCTTCGTTGCCCTCTTCGTTGCCCTCCCTCGGCCCCGAGCTCGAGCCGCCGCCTCCACCGTTTGTCGAGCGTCAGTTGCTCTGGCAGCACCGTTCCTGCTCGCCCTGGGGCTCACTCGTCTTCATCGGACCTCAGTGCGGGAGCGGCAGTGGCGGCAGCGGACCTGCTGTGATCGATGACACGCGGGCGGAGAACGCCGAGCCTTTCGCCCACCCGCTGTACGAAGAGGTGCCCTGGCCCGGAGCCTTGCCGGCCGACCGCGACGCACTCGCACGACGGTACCAGCGAGAGGCGGAGGCGTGGTCGAGCTGCGCCATCACCGCCGCGGCTGCAGCTGAGCGTGAGCTCCTCGGCCTTCTGAAAGCAAAATCGACCTTCTTCCCGGGGTCGCTGCCGATCCGCGAGGGGGAGGAGAAGTGTCACGCTGCCACCAAGCTGGCGGCGACGACGGCCAGCGCAGCGGCGACTGCCATCTCCCGCCTCGCCGCCTTGCCGCCATCAAAGGCGTTGCCGCCATCGCCGCCGTCCGACGCGTTGCCGCCCGCCGTCGGTCCCTCTTTACTCGCCTACGCGGCCTACTCGTCGCTTCGCGGAGGGAGCGTTCCCGACGGACTTCCGCCGTACATGGTACGTGCGGCGGAGGGGGAGGAGGAGGGGCAGAAGGAGGAGAATCAGCAGTGGGAGGATCCGGAGGACGACGAGTGGGACGAAGTCTCGGAGGACGAGCCGGAGGAAGAGGAGTCGGGGGCTCACCTCGGCGAGGCTGCTGCCGCACTCGCGGGGCTCGGCGCGGCGGCGGCGGCGGCGGCGGCGGCGGCGGCGGCGGCGGCGGCGGCGGCGGTGGCGGCCTCGGAGTTTGTGGACTTCGACGTCAGCGACTCGGAGGAAGAGATCGAGGCGCCGCGTGTGCCGTGATCGAGGAGTCCGGCTTCCTGGATCAGCTCGACTAAAGTGGAGCGCCCGCGTTAGCGGGAGCTCCCAGAGCCAAGAAGGAGCCGCTCGGCCAAGAAGGAGCCGCTCTGTCGATTTGCATATGACGAGAGGACACTGTGGCGGACACATATCGCGAGTCGAGGGTGTGTGTGCGAGGGTAGCCTTGCTATCCACCCCGCCCGTTGTCGCCCGCACTCCGTTGGCGGAACCCCCTTTGCGCGGCTGTCCCGCGTGAAGACCCGGTCTTCATGTCCAACTTGTCAGTCGTGTTGCGCCTCTAGTAGTGACAACGTGCTGGCGGGGCATGCCAATTGCGCAACGCATACTATCGGCCCGCTCTGCCGGGGATGCGTGTAACATGTCGAGAGTGGAAAGAAAAGCATTTGACGATTAAAAACTTGTCCTCCTCATTTACTGGGCTGCGTCTCCGTAGCGGCCTGTACATCTGTACTGTACGGCATGTACGATGTCTATATAGATCGCGTGGATGTGCACGTGTGCAGCCCGCCCGGTGCGACCCCCGCGGGCAGAGGGGCGGCAGGGATCTTGGATGGAGGTGTTCTGCTGCTGCTGCTGCTGTTACCTCCGGTCCACACGGGTCCTCCCGTGCTAGGACAACAAGGCCCCACGGTACACGGCGTTTCCACACTAGGCGAGTCACGCATGTGTCGTGATTGGGATCAAAGCGCTGACTGAGAGTCATGAATGAATGTATGTGTGTGCGTCAGCTGGTGTGTGTATGTTGTCATGTGAGACGCTCCCGGCGGAGCGACTCATTCATCTTGGCTTGGGTCTGCTGCGCGCGGGAGCTTTGTGCGCGACAGGGGCTTGGCCTGCGGCGGTGGAGCTGCGGCCAAAAGGCTGGCGGGGCAACGCCCGTCCGCAAGGTCTCGCGCCATGCGCTGCGGTTCGCGGCGAGCTCGGGCCAGCGCGTCTTGTCGATGCGGAACATCTCGAGCGCCTTGAAGATGGAGCGGCCGTACGTCATGGACGGCGAGCCTATCGGGCGGCGATGGGGCACCCACGCCGAGAGCAAGCGGCGAGGGAGCCTCGTCTCGTAAGGCATGCGGCTGACGTGTCCAAGCCACCGGAGCTGCCGGCGAGCGATGTAGAACTCGATGGAGTCCAACCCCAGCCGCTGTCCCAGCTCTTGGGCCGAGATGTGATGCTCCCACGCCTGGCTGCGCGACACCCGGCACATTGCTCGTAAGTGATGGGCATGCATGCAGCGCAGCCGCCGGACAGCTCCTCGGTCAAACTCCACGTCTCGCAGCCGTAGAGGACGGTCGAGAGAACGATCGCCTCGTAGACCGCCTTTTTGGCTTTGTTGGAAGTGGATGGGGAGGGGAAGACGCAGGCGCGCAGGGCGCCAAATGCCTTGCCACCCGACTCGACGCGGGCGTCGACCGGGACCGCTGCTGCGTCGTCGCCGTCTCGCGCGAGACCGCGATGTCGCCGAGGGTACGGGAATCTCGATGAATCGATCTACCACCTCCATGAAGCCGTTGTTTGGCAACATGATCGGGGAAAGGTCGGTGCCGTCGAACGAGGTCGGATCTGAGTAGAGGTGGTGCGGCTTTGAACAAAACAGCACCTCAGATTTCTTGGTGTTCTTGCCGGAATAAAAGCAATGTTGGGACAAGACATGCCCGAAATGGTATACCGGCCAAACCGGCAGGCGCGGGACATGGAGAGCGAGCCACGTTGCGCATTGGCAACAATCCCGACCCACAGCACACTCGCGACAAGGCGCCAAACCAGAGTACAGTGAGCTGTGAAGCGAGGACCGGGACAGCCACCGCACGCTCAGGCAACCGCTCCCTCCGACTTGACGCGCACCGGCATGCCTCCGACCGGCGCAG